TAAAGTGTGAAACCCCGCAACTGTGTGATAAGTAATTGTAGCCGTTACTTGTAGATTGTTAAATAAACCAATTAACCATCTCTACGGCGTCTTCAGTAACGAAACACGTTACACTGGTGTCAGAAGTGGGATCAGTAACGCAAAACACGTTACAATATATATATACATAATTTTTTTTGCTGGCTCTACAGCCCCCTTTGGCTCTGGCATCTGATTTTTCAATTTCATTATCATTTTACAGATGGTAGGACCCCTTGGACGAGTGATCAGCTCATCGAAAGGCCTCTACCTAAACACTGGACAACACAAACACAGAATAAACACATGCACATACCAAACATCCATGCCTTGTGTGGGATTTTAACCCATGATCCCGGCTTCCGAGCAAGAGAAGACAGTACATGCCTTAGACCACTCGGCTTCCGTGACCAGCCATTAATAGATATGTACCCAAAATAGTGTATGAATACGGGATTTTACTGTAATTAGCTTCAATACATATTTATCAACCAGGCTTTTAAAGCCAACTGATTACTGTTTCCTACAATTTACCGGCATCGTTGAGCACATGAATGACACAGTCCCTCCTTAAGATGACCCATACTGCTCTCACAGCGCCTCTCACATGACAAACATTTTACTGGACAAGTGAAGTACTGGTCAGGAAACAGCACAGTGGAACTGTGTTCTATTTCGCCACTGAATTTGTCATTCAGAATCTGAAATATAAACAGTAACATCAGGCAACTCAAAAATAAAGAAGCATGAAGTCATCTTTGTGCTTAATTAAGCAGCATCATGATGGTGTATCAACAAGTAGAGGTATAGCTCTGTGCATCCTCAACTTCTATATCAGACTGAGGTGAGTGGTCATCTTTGTGCCCTGGAATCCTTACCTCCAAGGAAAGCTCACTCGGTACCCACTGAATAGGTGGCTGGGTGGGCCAAGATCCAGTCTGAATCCAATGGTGGAGACAAAAATCCCTGCCTTTGGCATGAAACGAACAGATCACTAGCCTGTAGCTTTGTTATTGTACTGCCAAAGCCAACCTAGTTCCCAGGCATGTCAAATCATTTCCAAATTCAAAGCCTCACAGAAATAAACACTGTTTCTTCTACTAGAATTGATTTATGAGTAAGTAAGATAAAACTAATTGAACACTCACTTTAAGAGAAGGTAGGAAATAAAACAAAGGGACACGTTTGTTGAAAAGCTCGATTTATGTAGTGGAAACTAAAATTTCATACCTTGGTGTTTCAGCCTCAAGACTTATGTTGCACTGAATGTTTCAGTTGTATGAGCAACACTTTTGCTTTGTATCTGGGATCACTAATCATCCTCCTATTCAATGTATGAGTAATATAATGAGCTGCTGACATAGTCATTAAACATACAAAATATACAAAAATAAACAAATAAAAAAGGGCTGTTGGAATGGCAAATTAGGCAGAGGAAAAGAAATCATACATGACAACAGCGCACTGTTCCTACTGACACAATGTAAAACATTGTTCTCAAACACCTGTGACAAATATATGCAACTTTCCAATATCCCAAGCTAAATTTTAGGAGTACACATAATGAGTACATCAGTCTCTCTCAAAGTCAAGGTCACACATAAGCACCAGTCCATGTGCCCATTGTCAAAACCCATTAGCAAGAACAAAATTATTTTAGTAATAATATTAATAACATTTAAAAGCTTCCGTAAGCACACTGCAGCCACTGATGGGGTAAGTATGGCCGCAGCTACTTGCTGGTGAGGGGTTAAGGTGGATGCAGCTGCTCGCTGTGAATCGTCTTTTAGCGATTCCGAGGAAGCGGTCGCTGACCTAGCCTCACCTTTCGCTGTCTAACGACTCTGATGTTCTGTAATATGATGTACTGGGCGCCACTCAGTAGAGAACATGAGACTTTCACAGGACCGTTAAATGGGCCTTGGCTTCAACATGCAACCAACTAAACTCATGACAAACACTTGCGCTTTACTGAATACTTTGGATTTAAAACAGCATTAGTAACACGTGATGGTTTTATACAGTTCTTTGTTCCCATATACAGATCGACACGATCACGCATCTTTACAGTTTGAGAACTCAGCTTTGTCTGTCTAACACAAAGAAATGGGTGTATCATGCCAGCAGCTGCTTAGCATGACATCATCCAGTAACTGGCGTTTCTTATTGGCTATAACCTGGGAAGTACTGTGTTAACCACGTATGAAACTAACATCATTGCCTCACTGAACAGAGGGAGAACCCCTAAATTATCAGCTTCATAAGAAGTTATGCTGTGACTACATCATTTTTACTTAATGTATGTCTTATAGCGTAATATAGCGTGTGTTGATTTATGCAATTTCCTCAAATTCATATTTTAAGTTTTGTTGAAATACAATAATCATACAAAAAAGTATATGTGTACATAAATTGGGCGAAGTATGTTGCTAAAAAGGAGTAACCAGTTACATTATTTGCTTAAAATGAATTATATATGCCTTCAAAATAAGTGTATTTCATTAGCCATATTAGAATTACTAAAGATATTTTATTTGTTAAGGGTTTCTGTTCAATACTATTTTGCTAAGCAACGTTATCTCATGAGATAATCCAAGACTATTTTCTTATTTTCTTAAGCAACCTATACGACCCACCCATTTTTCATTGTCATCCTAACAATATAAGACAAAGTACATAAACTGTAAAGCTAATCATTATGTAATTTTCTTTATTTCCTTGTTAAATGATCTGTCTGAGGCACAAACAACCTCTTCATGACACTTATGTTTATACTGTAATACCTTAAGCGTATGATATACAACTTGTGGTTGTCTGGGGGAACGAACTGTTGTGTTCTCCAGCTCACTCTCCACAGCTGCTTGAAGGTCTGAGAAGTCTGTAGCCAATGACAATGTTTGAATTCCCACATACCGCAGAGAGCTGAACGCCTCAATCTCCAGTTTACTCTGAGCAAATCGGTTACGCAAGAAGTCCTCAGCACTTTCAGTTAAAGCTATAAATCAAATAACGAAGTATTCAGAGACAAACAGGAATCAATCCTGCTCAGATAAACTGTCATCCTGCATGACTGCTTTTTGAAGTTAAAGTTGAGTATAAGTTCAGATTAAGCAGTGGGTCTTCCACCATGATAATAAGGGTTAAGTCTATATCTCCCTAACTTAGCACAGACATAACACTTCACAAGCAGTATAAAACACTGCCACAGCAATTCTGATGCGATGCTGGCAGTTCAGTAGTATCTTAATTTACTCCGCAGTGAACACTACATGACAAGGGATACACTAAATCTACACTTTAACCTTTACCTTCAACACAGTTTTCATTCTGATCTTGTAATCAAACACCATTTACATCCTTCACTAAGTTACTTCTAGGTTAGTAAAAACGATAAAGCCATCCCTGTAACACGCCATGCAGGCCTGTAGGGTTGAGATGAGGCTCCCACATTTCTAGAGAATCAGCTCTCACATGGAGGTGAGGTTGTCAGCCTTATGCGGTGGCCACCTTTTACCCTGCAGGAAGGTTCCTGGTACTCATTTCTGTTACAGGGTGAGTTGACCCCAGGACAGTAGCGTGGGTGGAAGGATTAGGTCAACTGAAAAATCATATTACCTCACTGGGATCAAACCCGTGATCTTCCAGCTTGTAGCAAGTGCCTCAATTGATTATGCTGCTGCATGGTAACCCTTCCTAAATACCCCTATTCCTCTACAAAGGTCTCTAATGTTCTTGTTCTTACTGTTCATTGCAAGCTCATCAATTTTGTCTTCCAAATATTCCCTCCTTTTATTCCTGAAATGCCTGTAGGCTTCATGTCTTATACTGTTCAGATTAGCCCCATTTATTTCACTTGGATTAAGACTTAAGAGTTAATGCTGAATTTTTTCAAAGCAACAAAACAATGAGGCCTCTACTGATTATTACTGATTTCAAAGTCTAACAGCTGTTATAGCCATAAGCCACTACTGAGGTAACTACGCCCAAAACCAGAAGAGTGTAAGTCAAAACAGCAGGAGTTCTGGGTAGATTCATAAAGCACATACTCCTATTGTACAGAATTCCAGTTTTAAAACTCTTGTGCTGCTATGCTATATATAGGTAATGTAAGTTAATATTTCAACAGTAAAGGCAAAGTTCTTGTGCTAAACTAATTAAGCACTATGCCATGAATATGTATGGGGGTGTGGATGTATAGATCCATGTATTCTTGGCCTTAGCACTAGTTGGTGGCGAGTGGCCAGCTTCACACCCCAGCCGTTTTACCCCGGTGAAAGAGCCCCTGGTACCCATTGGATAGGAGGATGGGTGGGCCTTAGAATTGGTCTGGATGACGTGGAGAGGAGAAAAATCTTGCCCCTACCAAGACTCAAACTCCGACCCCTCAGCTGTCTAACCTGTGTAGCCAGTTGCTATACCAACTGCATTATCCCAACTCAATATAAAACACAATTTAACTCTTGGGTTAGCATGCTGGGTCTGTGCTTAGAAGGTCATAAAATCAAGAAGCACAAATTATGCCAATACAAAATTTGTTGATAACTGCAAAGTTTAACAACATTACCATAATTGTAACTTTTGGCTTATAATCAATATTCATACATAATTTGTAAGAATATTATACAAAAGCTATTTTCATACAGAATTTCATATTTCTGGCTTCTGGTTTAGTTATCCCTGTCAAATTAAAAATTAAACAAAAATTTATGCATGTCCACCGCTTTATTGTTTTAATTATATAAAGAAAGAACCTTACTGATTGTTCCACAGTTTTCTAAAATCTACTAATGTACATAATTTCTGGACCCTGTATTATATACAGGTACTGTCACTTCCATCTCACATGTTTTGTGTCCACCATGGTGTTATTATAATCTGCAGGAAATGAAAAAGACAACACTGGCACAGCTCCTAATGGCACAGTGTTTATACTAGATTTTCGTAAAATCAGAACTTCCTTATAATTTAAAAGAAGCAGTAGTATTTTGGGCTACTACTTGAAGATTTATGGTACACCTGAAATGTACTAATTTAGAATCAAAAGTACAGAAGTGAACATAAAGGAACGTCAGACTAAACTGCAGATGCAACAGACTTACATGCCTGCAGAGTACGTGTGTGCCTGGTTTCGTGGAATATGATAACTGCAGGGCCAAGGGCTGATAAAGGCCCACCAAACTCACTGCGCTGACCCACAGCTTGCAACGCTGCTTGGAAGTGTTGTGTGTAAGCACGTGATGCTGAGCCCAGGAATGTGAACAAGTCAGAATGTAAACGCTCTGATCGTGTGCGATAAATCACAATATCTGACACTGCAAGAACCTTGAACATAAACATAAAGGTCACATAAAGTAATGATACAGAAGTTACATTGCATATCATTAAAACTCTCCCAGTGTTATGCAATAGTATATTAAGAGTACCATAAACTTTACTGGTCTTTAAATCACCTTAAGCAGTAATCTGGTTCGCCGATTCTCATGACTTGTGGATCCCAAAAGACCCTCTGTATCCAAACAAATAACTCTGAAGTGAGGATCATATGCAGCCCATACACCAAGGGTGCACGAATCTTGCTCTGAAGATGTGTGAAACACTTCCTCTCCTTTAAAGAACGTATGGTTCAGAGTATGAGATTTCCCATCACCCGTTTTACCAAACACTGAGACAACTTTGACACGTGTTGAGCTATCACAATTTAATCGCCCCAGAAACTGCTCACCTGATGATACCTGTGAAAGGTAAAACATGAATAATTCTGTAGTTTCTGAAACTTTATTCACACTCTGTACACAGAAAACACATTACAGATGTTCAAGACTTTACTGATGCTGTGGTTTGTAAAATATCAGCTGGCTGCCTGGGGCCTCAATGATCACACAGAAAGAAAATGCACTAGAAACATGGTCCAGTGCCAATAAATAAAGCATGTGTAAACAAAAAAGTATCAAAGTGTGAACAGCATTTGTGTCCCTCTTTGAACATTTAAATTAAGAAGAAAAAAGTTATATGTACTTCCAAGAGGACAATACATCAGCACATGCTGTGAAAAATTCAATGATATAGGATGAATTCCATGTTCCCTTTATATAAATGTGTGGTGGTTTTTACGTCTCGCAAAATATGAAGCTAGGGTGTATACAGACATGACCACAATATCTCTAGATTTTAAAACCTGAAATTTGGTATATTTCTGCAGAAATCACAGAACATTAGTTACTGTTATGGAAGACCTTATTGAGAAATGCTGTGCAATACTGTGGGACACTTCTTAAAATAGATGCTGAAAAATCACTATTAGTAAAATGTTCCAATGGGCAAAATTTTAAAATACAGACGGATTCTCATTCTATACTGCACTAGAGTGCATTTCCTTCCTGTATGATTACTTATATGGCAGTTTATACTTGGAGCTTTGATAAGAATGATGTAATGTTTCTGATACAGTGTTGTGTGTATGTTAAAAAGCTTTCTAAGGGTGCCACCATAAGCCCACCAGAGAGTCACAGACTGATAAAGTTTGCAATCATTAATTATTCTAGACATTTGAAATATATCTCAAATATCAGTATGTCCAGATTATTCAGCTTTTGAAGTTGGTAAGCGCATTTCCACCTAACCTACTTCACTTACTTTTAAAAATCAAGTTCCAGTATAATTTTAACACCTACATTAAACTTCAAAGATTAAATCATATGTATACAAACACTATAATGTTCATGAAAGACTACTAAATGATATACTACCTTCAGATTCTCTTTACCATCCAGCAATAAAAAACTTCCTCTATTGTTTTTATCAAATCTTGTGCCAAGTTTCAATGATGTGAATTCTGTTGTGAGTGTCACATCTGGGGGCAAACTATTCAAAGATCTGTTCCCTTCTGAATATGAGCCTTGCATCAATCTACTTTGCCCAAATATTGAAGGGGTATCAATTGATTCCATAATGGCAGAACAGGCTTCAGAATTCTGTAGCCTTAACGATTTCCTCTGTATCTTCAATGGTAGTTCCATGGGCGATACTGCATACAACAATGCATCATCTTGCCTGCAATATGCCACGAAAGCACGTCTTCCCCGGTATTATAAGGTCTGCAGAAGTTCTTCCTTTCACTACGTATACATTTTTAAACTGCCGTTATTCCATATGTTTCTCGACTCCCTTAACCGAACATTATGTACCACTGGCTTATATTTCATAGGCAATTAGCCAGTGGTATATTTATTGATAAATATATAGAGCACCGTTCGATGTCACATCAAACAACGAAGCAAACGAATGTCATAAATTACACTTCTCTAAATTTTCAATAGTCTACAAACACATCGATCAAATTCACACTTTACGTCGAAATGACTGACGGCATAAACCCTCGCATATCACAATTTCGGTAAATGTTGAGTCATGTGCCATATGTTGCTGTATCAACATATGATCACTAGAGGGCAACGTATTCATGCGAGATATCGATTTTGTGAAATAATCGATAGAAACTTTAAATTAAGAGTTAAAACCGGTAATATCGAAAGTTCATGTTATGGGCGTTATGGTCTATATAGGTATTATTCTGACTTGTACTCTTCTCCAAGTATAATTAGAATAATCAAGTTAAGGAGGATGAGGTGGACGGGGCATGTAGCAAGAATGGGGGGGAAAAGAAATACATATAGGATATTGGTGGGAAAGCCAGAAGGAAAGAGACCACTGGGAAGATCAAGGCATAGGTGGGTGGACAATATTAAAATGGATCTTAAATAGGTTGGGATGGATTGATTTGGATCAAGATATGGACCAGTAGAGGGCTCTTGTGAATATGGTAATGACGTTTTGAGACAAGGGAGGCAATTCAGAAAGCAGCACATCAGTGTCTTCGGATGGCTGGAACGGAATTTTACATAAGGGGAATTTTCAGACTCCCAGAACACTGGGAGAAATGTGTACAAAGAAGTTGTGATTATGTGGAGAAATAAAGAAAGGTCTGTAGATTGAGGTGGTGTATTTGGTCTGTCAATAATAAAGCATGTTACTTTACAAAAAAATGTTGCTTGTGACTTTCAGTACGACCCTCGTATATGGCGCCGCATGCCAGAAGACGGAATTCTTCATAGTCACCATCATGAAAACTTCAAATCCTACATTCAATCGTTGTAAGATTCTGCCATTAGTATCCTGAGCCTAATGATTCCAGTCCAGCCCCTCCTACTTCATTTAAGATCCATTTTAATATTATTCTCTCATCTACATCTTGGTCTTCCTGATGGTCTCTTTCCCATTTAAGTTTTATGCTACCATTTTCATTCAACCTGACCTACAGACTCCTGATACTTAATGTTCTACATCTTGTATCTTAGTCAGTTCCAATGAATCTGTGAAGTCCAAGATGGCAGTAAGGTTGTCAGCCCTATGTGGTGGCCGCCCTTTACCCCCAAGAATATTCCTGGTACTCATTTCTGTTAGAGGCTGAGTCGACCCCAGGGCCATGGTGCGGCTGGAAGGATTAGGTAAACTGAAAAAAATCCAATGACCTCATCAGGATTCAATTCCACGACCTTCCAGCTTGTAGTATAGTAGGATAATTATGTGGAAGTCTGTATCAGAAAAGATGCCATTATGGAGGGGGGGGGGTGTCTAAGTCATAAAATTGTATACTCAGATAATTTTGTCTGGGCAACAGAACTATTTCTCTTTAATTCTGCACCATGAATGGTGGTGTCTTATAATTAACAAATACAGTATATTTTTCTGTGATTTTCTTCTGGCAATCTGGTTTTCTATCATATTGCATACCCTTGTTTCACAGAATCCAAGAACATCAGCGTCTGATCAGATATCATGATCGAGCGGTTAGCATACTAGCTTTATGCCTGGGAGGTCTCAGGTTTGATTCCCAGCCCATGAAATGGACATACTCAGTTTTGTAATGTAAATGCTTGTACAGTACCTTAAAACAGGTGATAACTGCTTCAACATTATTTCGAATTCATTATTGACAATTATCCTTTCATTCAATGCCATTACATACACAATTGAGGAAGGGTCATGAAATAAACAGAGACTTTACGAGAGCATTTTGGCATCTTATCATTATGAAAATACCGTTTTATAAAATGTTAGTAGAAAATTATTGTCACCATCATCACAAGATCTCAAGTGCATATGCACGAAGTTCCAGACCTTGACAACACTGAGTACTCATTCTTTTCAAACATGTGAAGCACCGGTGGAGAAATAACTTGGAACAGTTGAGAACAGGAAATTTTCCACTGGGGGAAAGACACGTTACTGCAAAAATATTGTAAAGTTTTAAACACTGTCATATGATAGTATGGTCATGTACATATAATTTGTTGTTTACTCATCTCCATCTAGTGTCAAGGCTGACAAAGCATGGAGCTATATCTCCAGCCCCATATATGTCTTTATAGCTTAGCTTAAGTAAGAATAGAGGTAGCTTTACTTTTAACTNCATATGCACGAAGTTCCAGACCTTGACAACACTGAGTACTCATTCTTTTCAAACATGCTAAGCACCGGTGGAGAAATAGCTTGGAACGGTTGAGAACAGGAAATTTTCCACTGGGGGAAAGACACATTACTGCAAAAATATTGTAAAGTTTTAAACATTGTCATATGATGTTATGATCATGTACATATAATTTGTTGTTTACTCATCTCCATCTAGTGTCAAGGCTGACAAAGCATGGAGCTATATCTCCAGCCCCATATATGTCTTTATAGCTTAGCTTAAGTAAGAATAGGGGTAGCTTTACTTTTAACTTTACTCTTGATATTTTAGGCATCAACTGTGAAGTTTCATGGCATACTGCATGTAAGACAAATTACCTGAGAATACTCACTTTCTGATCTATAAGCATAAGCATGCTTATCATAATGAAAGAATATTTAAATTGTACTACCTCCTACTCAGTGACAAGAATATAATCTTTTTAAGAGGAGTGTGATAAATATGGGAATTAGTTTGTATAATAAGGTCCCCAATCAAATAAAACAAAGGGAAAATTTTAACTCATTTAAAAAGGAATTAAAATCTTTTTTGCTGAAACATTCCTTTTATTCTGTAGATGAATTTATATATTTTGATTCATCAAGTGTGTAAATGTAATATGTAGCTTATTAATTTGTTGTATTTTGTGTAAAGACAATGAAATTAATGGTAATTAGATCTAGATAATTTTATTCAGATGACAAACCCCCTATATTAGGGCGGTACAGTGTATTCTGTAAAGATACGCACGAGAATCTGACAATTTCNCTCATAATGGAAAATATTTAAATTGTACTACTTCCTACTCAGTGACAAGAATATAATCTTTTTAAGAGGAGTGTGATAAATATGGGAATTAGTTTGTATAATAAGGTCCCCAATCAAATAAAACAAAGGGAAAATTTTAACTCATTTAAAAAGGAATTAAAATCTTTTTTGCTGAAACATTCCTTTTATTCTGTAGATGAATTTATATATTTTGATTCATCAAGTGTGTAAATGTAATATGTAGCTTATTAATTTGTTGTATTTGGTGTAAAGACAATGAAATTAATGGTAATTAGATCTAGATAATTTTATTCAGATGACAAACCCCCTATATTAGTGTGGTACAGTGTATTCTGTAAAGATAGCACGAGAATCTGACAATTTCCCTATCAAATAGTTGTAATATCTGTATGTATGGATTGTTGAATGATAATAAAAATGAAATGAAAATCAATAAACACCAAATACCTTTATAATGCTACATTTTAATTATAAGAATTATATAATTAGCACATTAAATGTGTTGCATAAAGTAAGTAATAACTAAATTGCAAATGTTATTCTGATATTAAGGAAACAAACAGTTTTAATTTCCAGCATAATCCTCATTATGCTTCTCATGCAATCTGGAGCAACTAGATCCTCGCATTTGAATTACAGAGTGAATATATATAGCACAAAACAAAATCCCTCTGAACATTTTCTCCTCAAACTTACTGTATAAAAATTCTACAGAAACAAAACATAATAAAACAGTACAGTGAACACTAGATTATCCATAGCAATGAAGGGGAGAAGTAATGCAGATAATAAAAAAAACAGATAATCCAGATATCTGGAAATACCAACTTTCTATGCTGCATTGAACCATGAAACTCAGTTACCACTTACTGGTCGCTAGACACCAAGATAAATATCTTTCCAACAGAAGACAGTGACCATTGTTCAGTGGTAGTATGCCCATGAGAAAAACAATAAAATAATAAAGCAGAAAGTTGTGAAGTATGATACCATGTATAATCTGCTGCAAATTGTAAATTATTATTGATACAGATGTACTGGGCAGCACCTTAACATCACAGGAAATTTTAATGAAATCTGAGGGTCCACACATGGACAATCAAGAGTCTCTGTACACCTTAAAAGAAGGACTACTTTATGTGTACTTGGTACTTGACATATGAGTACTTGACACACAACCATTATTTGTCCGTGGATATGTACTGTTCTTTGTAATATTCATTTATAAAGTAAACTAGACACAATATTATAGGTTGTGCTCATATGATGAGGCACTCTATGAATGGGGCTGTGGAACATGAACCATTTGAAAGTGAAGGATCAACTGTACCTCACTGCCCAACAATACAACACGCTGCATCCTGCCACAGTTTAGATTGTACATATATCATGTAAGTCTATCAATTACACCGTCACCTCAAAATCTAGATCGAAGCATTCGAAGACACAACTGTTCTACCTCGCTTGAACGGACCCACGCCTGGAACAGTGGTCTAGCCATAATGGGATGTCTTTGTGTCAAATGCACTGAACTGTCTGGTACAACACATCTTATCCGGTCATTGATGCACCCATTTCTCAAATAGTATGTGGTCATCAAGGTGTATATATATTTGATGTATTTAGTATCCATGCAAAGCAATGAACTTCCTGTCATAGTATCTCTGGTAGAAACAGTCTTAAGGTAGTTGTCTGTGATGACTGGAACCACATAGTCCACCTAAACAAAACAATTTAATATCAGTCCTATTTAATCAAAAGAAAATAAAAAAGTTGCCTTGTGGACAGAAGTATAGTTTGTGAAGAATAATCAAAAGATACTATGCATATGAATCAGTTGCATTCTGTGTCTAAAACATCTATGAGAAAGTTGCTAGATTTTACTTCCAAAATATGTTGGGAATCAGATCACTATACTGGAGATCCTGTGCAACACATAACTTGGTGCCTACTCAAGGTATAAGTGCCCTCAGAGATGTTTTGAATAGACATCAGGTATACTCAAGAACTGTTTTAGATTGATGGTTATGCTGTGTATTATAAGACTGATGCAGGAACAAAGTACATTAACAATTAAGTAGAAAAAAGGAAAATAAATCACATTATTTACTTCAATATTGTAATAATCATGCAATAACAAAATGCTTACTTGAAATATCTCAGACATATAGTTTACTCATACCTGATGGAAGCATGCTGATATGAACTGCTCAGGGTTGCTATTTACAAGATCTGAATGCTCATTCAAAATTACTACTCCAATGCAATGCATATTTTCCCTCTTCTTACGAAATTCTGTGGCAATTTGCTGTGCTGTGTGGAAGCCATCAGATGCAAATGTTAACAGGACTTTACATGTGTATTTCATCTGTTAAAAAGCACGGTTACATGTTAACAATTAGTCTCTTTTGTGTACATGTATCTTGCTGCATGTTTGTGTACATTACAGTTAAATTCTGTTCACACATGAAGTATAATTATTTGTGTAAGTTTGGTGTGAATTCAGTGGAGTAATTAGGCTCATAATGAATGAAAGTTGCAAGAAAATTTATATTAACTTCGAAAGTCAAATGCTGTGCGCACAAGTCCCATTGAATTCAATTTATTTTTCAGCCTTGACAGCATTTTTTAAGCTATTATACCACACCCCACAATCTGGTGGGTCACTTTGTATGCACAGTGGCAAGGACCGTCTAAACCAACACTGGTCTTACATATTGCTACCGAAGATTATTTTTGTGATGCAAAGTTTTATTTGCAAAATTATTTCTCTGAAGTAGTGTGTGTGGAATATCGATTTTAATTTTGTTTCATCATAATACTGAAAACAGAAAGCCAGTAAAGGACATGTTGCATAAACAGGCCAAAGATTTAAGTTTTAAGGTTTTACCTATTTCAAGTGTGAAGCAAACAGTAACTGGCTCTCTAAGTGACAGGTTAGTCTTGCCTACAAAACATTTAGTATTTAACACATTCAGGACCGGAGGGGCCAATTGGCCCTCTACGTTTCTATAGCGTTGCGGACTGGGCGGGCCAATTGCCCCTTTTCTGACGCGTTATGTTGCAACCAACTATATCTCGCTGTGTGGCCACGTTGCATCATAACTACTGTGTAGTTGACCTCGGGAATGTTTGCTAGCGTAGCTCATGATCATGCTCATTTCCTATCACACCCTAAAGAAAAAACAACCGGTCCGCAATTTGTTAAGGTGGATATTTAAAGTGGGAAGCAAACAGTGGCAGGCCTATTCATGCTACAACTTAGTATCTCTCTTTCCCAGGGTGGCCATCTGCCTTCTTATATCAAAGCTGGTATAATAATTGTTCTAGAATTAATTTTATGAGTAGTGTATAAGTTACATGAAAAATCCCATTGTTGCCATTAAGATCTATGACAAATCCTGAAATAGATAGTGAAACACAATCTGCTAACAATGTACACACTAACAGTATTATGACAAAATTTTATAGCCTTATGAGATATCCTCCTATTGTATTATGGGAAGACAAACTTTATTTCCCATAAATAACGTTTTTACAATAAACTATTTCATGGGAATTTTGAAGATATTTTTTGACTTTGTATGTTCCATAAACAGAATCTGTACCTAAGCATTGCTACTACAATGAAAAGCATGTTCAAAAGAAGACACATGCATAATTCATAATCAGTGATTAATATATTAACACACCATTGGTTTGGATCTAATAACTGCAGTTTGGTAGTTCTCCTCCTCTAAATCCTCAGTTCTTGTATGTGATTGTGAGGCAAGATGCTGGGAACCAATCTCTCGAAATATGAAGGGAGCAGGTGGAATCTGAAGAGGTCGGATGATGTTGCTTCTGTTACTGATTTCAGTATCACTCATGGTGTCTGAATGACCTGCAGGCAACACAAGAATGCTTATTTTATCAAGATACACTGGGGGGGAACTGTTGCACATATGGTTAATTTTATACATAAAACAAGCAGTGAAATTTACTTTACTATGTTAGCAACTTGACCACCTCTGTGGTTTAGTAGTCAGAGTTCCTGCCTACAGATCCAGAGGTCTGGGTTCGATTCCTGGCATTACCAAATATTCTGAGTAGTGGGTTTGGAACGGGGTCCATTCAGCCTCGTGAGGATAACTGAGGAGCTATTTCAAGGTAATAGCGGCTTCAGTCTAGAAAACCGAAATTAACGCCCATGGGGGATTCATTGAACTGACCACGTGACACCCTCTATCTGCTAAAGTTGATACTAACTTCACAGACAAGCAGCAGTCGCTCAGTCGGTATAGTTCACTTGTGGAGTAAAACCCAGAGTTTGTGTTTTTTCATGTTAGCAATTTTTTCTTAATTCGCTTAGTGGGGGGTGGAGTCCAACTGGGTCCACTCGGCATGGCGGTCCCTGACTGGCCTATTGTAGCCTACTTCGGGTGATTATGATGATGGAGAATTTGGTGCAATGAAGATTGTCCCAATGCCACTTTGTCCACCACAAATCCCACTTGACCAGACCCAGGATCGAACACAGGATGTCGTAGTGGGAAGCCAGCGACTAACCGCTTGAGCTAGGGCGAGGCCAGTTAGCAACTTGATTTAGCTGTCAACTGAATGGCTGAGCCTGTGCACAAACTACTGTATCAACAAGGAGTATAGTCCATTGAAAGACTGAAAGTCAACTAACATTTTGGAGGAATATGTCACCTCCATCTTCAAGGTTGAAGAGTAAGCTCTGCTTACTGCCTGCTTCATGCTGGTTTCTTGAAATTCATCTCAAAGGAGAAACAAGTTACTTTCTCCTAAATGACACTCCACTACCCAGCCCCTCCGGGGTTGAAGAAATGGCTGTTTCCTCATTTTCCATCCACTGGAGCCCTGAAGAAGGTAATTATTTCCCAAATTCTCAAGTTCAAATTTTCCTCCCGTGAGAAAAACTACGGTGGCCCTGAAAAGGCCTGTTTATTTTTGCATGTTTTACAGGTTCCGCTTATCCTACTGAAAATGATATAGATCCCTGGAAAGGTCCACACTTTCTCACTATTCCACTTTCCCTCACAACAATAAACTAGTGTGCTCCTCATAAAGCATGCTTTTGTCCATTTCTTGCCACTGGCTCAGACTGAGTCCCTTTCTTTACCCACTCTCCTTCAGTCTCTTGACCATCCTCATAACTTGCCTATTCCTGAACCCACACACTGCAACCCTGAAGATTGAGGCAGCATATTCCTCCAAAACATCAGTATCCAGTTGGGTTCCCAGATACCCTGTTTTCCCCGGAGTCTTCCGTTTTTTCACACAAATTTTGTTCCTCCGTTTACTGTTTACCAGGAGGGGATAATTCTCCATTTTTTTATTTAAGTCCATTGCGAATTATATTTCATGGGTTAAATATTATCATAAAATTTCTGTAATCCTTGGAAAATGACATTGTTATAGTTCCTTTCGTTATGTTGCATTTTGTGAATGTTGGCAACACTTGAGGTTCTAAACCAAAGCAGAGGTTGTTGGTGATAGTGTATTTTTAATCTGTTCAATCTTCGCTAGAAAGTCAGTGTCAAGTTAGCAAAAATATTTGAGGGCGAAGAAGAGCCATCAAAGACTCCTCCACGGATGAAGTTGAAATTCCAGGCCAAACATAATCAAATATATCTTAAGAAATGGGAAGATATGTTTTCATGGGTTAAGCCGGGACCAGACAAGAACCGCGCATTTTCTATGTTGTGTAGGAAGGATTTTAGTATTTTGCACGGTGGACAAAGTGACCTGAGGCAACACGCAGAATACAAGGGACATAAAATTAAGGAAAAATGTAATTCTGGAAGTTCAAATAAACTTTCGAAATACTTTGTTAATTTAAACAATAAAGAAGAATATGACAACAGCACCGCGTGTGAACTTGGTTTAGTGTATCATGCAGTGAAACACAACTTAAGTTATTCCAGTCTGGACTGCGGAAATAAACTTGTGTCCCATATTTTCAGTCATTCCGTGATTGCTTCCAAACTTTCATGTGGACGCACTAAGGCGGAAATGATAGTGAAGTATGTTCTTGCTCCTAAAAGTGTAAATGACTTTGTGTCTATTTTAAGATGTCCAGAAAATACTTCAAAATTTTTTTCGTTGGCTACCGATGAATCAAACAGAAGCAATCGAAAAATGTTCCCTGTTTGCATCCGGTACTTCGACCCTTTAAAGGGAGTGCAGAATAAACTTCTAGATTTTGTTGAAAGTGCTGAGGAAACGTCTATGGCAATTACTGGTTTGGTGCTGCAGAGCTTAGAAAAGCACAACTTGGATGTAAATTATGTGTCTTCTTATTGTGCAGACAATGCCAATGTGAACTATGGAAAAACACATTCCGTATATCAGTTGCTGTGAAGTAAAAACCCAAATTTACTGAAAGCCAATTGCTCTAATCATGTCATACATAACACAATCAAGTTTTCAATTGACAGATTAGATGTTGAAAGTGTAGTCTTAAAGATATATAATCACTTCTCTGTCTCTGTCAAAAGAAGAGAAGAGTTAAAATCATTCTTTGAATTTTTGAATTTGGAGTGGAATGAGATTTTGAGGCATGTTCCAACTAGGTGGCTGTCATTAACACCAGCCATTTCTCGACTGCTTCAGAACTGGGAAGCAATGAAGAGTTACTTCAATAGTATTCCCAACTGTCCAAAAATATTATCTAACATTTTCATGAAAGATGACCCAGAGGAAGCAGTGTTGCCTGAAATCTTCTAATTTCTTAAGTAATATTTGAAGTCAGCTGGAAATGGTAGATAAAACACTGGAAAGGTCTGACTTAAGTGTACTAGAGACTTACAAACAAATGAAACTTCTCAGTTCTAAAATCCAGCAGAGAAGGAAAGACAACTTTTTTGGTAGCAAAGCAAAAGAACTCATTAATGGATTGTCTATGCCATTACAGAAAAAGGTTACTGAAGACCTGAACAGCTTTTTTAGCAATATGCTTCAGTATCTGCAAAAAAGATATGATGTGAGAGATGACAATCCCTATGCATCCCTTGCAGCATTTTCTCTAAAGGAAGGGACTGAGTTCAAAGATTTTGAAAAAGCCATAGAAGTGTTTCAGCTAGGTGAAAATGTTTGCACTGATGACCTGTACTAGGAATTCAGCAGCCATCAAGATTACCTCTGCAACAGTGTGAACAGATATGGTGATTATGTAGCAAACTGGCTTACATTTTTTTCTTCAGTACCTGAGCATGATGTACCAAATATTTCCAAAGTGGTAGGATTTTTGTTTAGCATCCCTGGCTCAAATGCTTTTGTGGAGCGAATCTTTTCATTCATGAAAAGTAAGTGGAGTGACACAAGAAACAAATGCTCAACAGATTTAATCAAGGCAGAACTCCAGGTGACAGTGAACTATGAAAGCAAGTCCCGTTCAGAATTTTATAAATTTTCAAAGAGTGATGTTCAATTATTAAAAAGTGCTAAGAGTTCAGTGAAATACAATTAACAGAATCTGATCGACCAGCCCTTGAAAGTTATAAATATGTAATATTTAATATTTGTGTGTTCTACAAATGTGTGCTTATGTAATACAGATGTGTAGTAGCATTTTGTAAGTTATGTAGTATGTTGATTATGTATATTTTATAGCCTATTAGTTGTGAAAAATGTCGTTATAAACAAGCAATGAGACATCACTCCTTTTTTTATTTTACAAAATCTGGCAACCCTAGTATCCGGTCAGATGACTACATGGTATCACAACTCAGATCATCATCTTAAACATCACTGCCGTGAAGACCTCAAAACTTTAAAATTAAAACAATGTTACCACTTAGCAAACAACTGAAATTAAATAACATCAAGTCTCCCATATTTTGAATTATCCTACTTTAAATGCTCATTACATTATTATATTGATGGGCATCTGGAATTTAGGAAAATACAATGGTACACTAAACTTTTAGATCCTTCAAACCCCAAATACTTACCAGAAGAAATTGAAAAATAACCGCTTTCTTCATTGCACGTGTTACTTCCCATGACATTATCAGCCAGACCTGCATTAAATAAACAAAATAATCAGCTACAAGTAATATGCTGTTGGACATTATCCATCATCTTGTCTGTTCTAAAAACCGTCTAGTTTCTATTTCTATCTCCGGAGATAGGGGCTAGCTCTGTCTATTGGACCCAACTGAGTAGGTTTTACCTGAAGACGGGGACAGATTACAGTTCCCGAAACGTTGTGTTTTTAATAGAAACTAGACGGTTTTTTAGAACAGACAAGATGATGGATAATGTTCAACAACATATTAATTGTAACAATTTACCATCATCACAAACTTTTAGAAAATAATCAGCTGTTACAAAATTAATTCAAATTGAACTGCCATCCAACAAATACAAGGTGTACTGTCTATCATCAGGCTGATTCCTGCAATTGACATCATGTAGGTAAACTCCAATTTACAGTATTAACGATAAACCTTTAAGATAGTGTGTCAGTTATGTACAACTTTGTAGCTATCACAATGGTTCTGACATAGTTACAGAATTTACTGGGAGCCGGGAAAAAAAAACAGTCAGTATAGTGACTGGCTACGGGCTGGAAAACCGAGGGGTAAGTATTCCAAGTCCCAGCAGGGACAAGAATTTTCTTTCCTCCATGTCTTCCAGACACGTCCTGGGGCCTACCTAGCCTCCTATATAATGGACACTGTGGGCCCTTTCACCAGGGGCAAAGTGGCCAGGGTGACAAGCTGACCACTCACCTCCAACTACTGTCAAGATCAAGAAAACACTGATCTATATGTCCACACCCCCGTATGCCTTCACGGCACACTACTTAACTAGTTAAGCACAGGGACAACTTTACCATTACCTTTTACAGAATTTACTGACATGCATTTGTAGTACTTGAAACCTTTTTCTCTTTTATATTCATTTATACTGATATATTTTTATGTTTCCCAAATCAATCAAAACTCAGTTTACACGTTAAATAACTTCTAATTTACTACAATTCAATATTTCTTACACTGGGTGTAACATTCATTTTTAAAACAAAATTTTCTGAGAAATTTGGCAGTAGATCACGTCACATGGATGTGTGCTATAGATACTCAGTTATATGTTAACCATACAAGTATACCATATACAGTGAAATTCTTACCTTAGTTCACTGGTTCACGTATCTGCGCTTCACAGCAACTGGTGTACCGCTAACTGAGAGGTGAATATGGATATTGCTGATGGCAAATTTGGAATTAAGGGAAGTTATTAACTTCGTGGACTGCCTGACAGCATCATGTTTCATGGCAAACACTGCAGTTCATGCATGGGAATTTGTTTGTGATTTGTCATGAGTGCGCTGCAGTTATCAGCTTCAATAGCCATTTGTTCACAGTTACAATTAGTGACCAACGTGTTCTGTCATGGTGCAGTATACTTTAGAGCAATGTGTATTTCTGTATGACACCTACATGAAATACAGGTTTGTTATAAACTGTCAGTCAAAATTTCAATGTAAATTTTGTCATGAAAGAGTTGCCAGACAACAAACAATTCACAATTTGGTGAATCAACTTTGATCAATGGGCTTCTTAACTGACAAGAAACAAAAACATAAGCGCCCAGTGCTTCCTGAGGACAAGTTAGATGACACAGGGGCCAGATTTGAAAATACACCTAGTAAATCACTGAAACATCTAGCTCAAGAGACTGGAGTGTTAAAGTCTAGTGGAAGAAAAGCAACACAACTGCTGAAGCTTAGACCTTATAAAACAACAGTAATGCCTTGCAGGTGTGTAATCTAGCTAGCAAGATTCATTTTTGCAGCTGATATCTACAGTCTGTCGTCAAAGGTGAGATGGATCCACAATTGACATGGACAGCATTTTCAACACCTCCTGCAATCCACGAATTGTTAACTACTACTTTCTGAATGTTATAGGTCAATGGCCATTTTGATATATTGGCAAAATTCATACATGCCTCACAGACAAGGATGCATCAGTTGCCGTGGAGCACAGTCATGAACCGGTCAACGAATATAAAAACCTCTGTGTGTATGTATTATAGTGTAACATGTTGCGGAACGGAGCCCCCCCCCACCAGCAGTGACGCGGCGGGTGGGTCGGCGCTCTCCTCCCCCCTCCTCCCCACGGTAACGTAGCGCTCCCAGCCAGCCCTCCGCGGTGACGTCACGCGGTGACGTAACGCGCACCGCTACGTGCCCGTAATCAACGTCCTACTGTGACGTGGCACTCATTACGCCACAGGCAAGCACTGCAGCTATATAAGTGGATGCACAGTGCGTATCGATCAGTTCGAGTTCGAGTTCCAGTGTGGCTACCGCCGAAGACATTCCGAGTTATAAAGNGTGTATTATATTTATTTACGCTCAACTTCATTTGAATGCAGGGATTACTATATTAAGAATTACAATACCTGACATTAGGTCAAGTGTCATATTAATAACATCAGGTCTTCCCATTCTCTTCAAAGCATTAACAATCTTGTATAATGTTGCATCTTCATGCTGTACAAATGCCAGTAAAGTGTTATAAGTTGGATCTTGGGAACTGAAATTGTATCTTATACACTGCAACACATATACAAAAACATAAACTTACAAATCACTTTATAATCATCAGAAAATAAAGTCAAGACCATTACAAAAGCATAAACATACAATGTAATTACATCTCTTTTTACCTTTATCAGCAAAGGATTTATTCCAAGATGAATACCAAACTCTTCCCATCCAGCTGAATTGTAAGAGGACTTAGTAGAACTCAGCCACAGGCATATCATCATCAGAGTCTCTGATCCCAGTAAATCAAAGAGAAAAGCTGCATGAACCCTTGACATTTTTGTTTGCAATTCAGCAATTCTTTGCTCTAAATTTGGTAATTCTTCTAATTCTTTTTCCATTGCCGTCTTCCTTATAGCTTCCAATTCTGGATTACGTACTATTCTGCGATAAAATACAAGAGAATTATGTAAAACAGAGGCACAAATCAAGTACGTGGGAATCTTACACTTTTCCTTTGTGTATGCACTTCCTGCTCCTAATTCAATTACAAATTCTGAAGGTGTTGTTTTGATAATCCCACCAATCCAGATATAAAATCAAACATGGAAAGCACTAATGAAAATTAATAACAAAGGCCACCAGTAGCTGCTATTTTTGTCAAATGTAAGACAAGGAAACATCTGCATGCTTACAGCATGTAACTTGCTGAACTCATAGCAATTTGATACATAACAGAATTCAGCCATCCAGTTCTTGCAGTCTTATAGTGAATGATTAAAGAATGATCTAACCAACATATTATAACAAATCGTTTCTTTTGTTTCATACTATGGCTCTTCAGGTCATGTTACCATGAACTGTGTTATGTGGGTACTAATTTTTCACAGAATATACTGCATACATCTTCAGAATAAGAGTGTGCAAGTCTGAGGAAGTGGCTGATTGTGTAGAAGATGGAATGAAACAAATGTGTAATGGAGGACAGTAGTGGTCAAGCAAAACTATGAAAGGGGAAAAAGAGGAAGGGTCCTAGACTGGTCAGTGGGAACAGTGTGGCACGAAAAGCACAACTACTCCAGGAAATCATGAAGGAAGAGTACCAAGTAACCCTTCCCCAGGGAATGGATGGAAGGGTAATACTTGCCCTTTACTGGGGCACAGAACAAAGTAAGAAAGATGTATTTCTGTCCCCAAAAAGGAAGAGTAGAAAGAGACCATTTCAAGCAGAAAGGCAGACATGAGGCAAATCCAGGTTTACCCTCTGAAGGAGTGTTCCAGCATAACTATAATGTCAATGACAGGCTTTCATGACTTGCTCAGAAAGAAACCACCTTCCCTAATCACGTTATTGAGATGAAGCATGTCTTCTTTGGCTTCCCTGATGATGCAGTCTTTGCTTCTGTATTATTTGGGTTAGGATACTGGTACAGTATCATAAAACCAGATGTGATGACCCAGGTTTCTTCCTTGCCCTTAGGTTTTCATGGTCTGTGTCTAATGGGTCACTTCAGCTTAGCTTCACTGTTATGTTTAACTTATCACATGACTAAACCCCAAAAGCCGACAGACCATTCAACATAGATTTATGCTGGATAAGATGTGGCTAGAGGACATTAGTATTCTGACCAAAAAATACAGATGAACAGATTATATCATATGGAAAGTCACAAAAACTGTAGCTCATCCCAATAACATGACAGTTTGTTACACTCAAGCAGTTAACCCTTCCACACTCTACTCTTACCATGACAGGTGTGTACTCCTTCCTCCTCAACTCACTATGATCACTGGCCTGGCCTATCTTACCCGACTTGTTTTTCTATACCTTTTTTCTATTTACACCAGCTACTCTCCCAAGTATGAACAGACTCTAGAGACGAAAATTGGGGTCTTCCTCCAAAATGTTGGTCTCCATAAACGAATGTACACGGTGGCATAACTCACAACATCCCCAAAATGAATCTTCACTGCCATGAAAACCCCCATCTTTTATGTCCATTTGATACTTGCCTGTTATTCATCTTCGTGCTCTAGTAATAAGGCACTACCACGACTTGAGGAAAGTACAAACTAAAATAGTCAGATTACAAGAAAAATCATCCACTTCCAAAACCAAAATGCTAATTATTCACTATTGCTGATTTTCCACTTCATCCCATAAAATTTAATTTGTACATTTCCCGAGCCGAAGTGCTAGTACATTTTTGTACGCAGACAACACTTTCCCTACATTCTGTCACACTGCCATTATGACGATGATGACGATTATGGCGGTCACAGAGATCACAGAAGTGACGTTTATGACCACAGAAATTATGACCTTTATGACAACTCCCACAGATTGCAAATGATTACGGGTTCACGGATGTAGAGAACCTCACGGATTAATAACCATTACCGACTGGAATGATAAACGTGCTTTAGCAACTTGTTAAATTCCTCGAGTTACTTGAACGAAATAAACGCAAATGATTCAAATTATTCATGAAAGCTTTAGCATTTTCTCCGAGACTATCCAAAAGTATTCATACCTGTCAAAGTCGAAGCCACATTGTGACCATTGGTCGGTCAGTCAGTCATTCTGTCTTTGTGTCGAGCCCCGAATTAGTGACAATCAGTGACTGTTGAATAGTTAGAGGCGACCACCTCAATGTTCCCTAACGAGAGGGCGGTATACTATACAAGGCCCGGTAAGTGCAGCCTGAGGGCAACAGATCATACCCTATCTTAAGTAGCTCATGCTACAACGGCAGCCTGATCACTCGAACGATTGTATGCTCGTCCGCCGCGAACTTTAAGCCTCTTGCATTTTCCGTGTCGGGCTTTGCCTTGTCCAATATTGCGAAAACTTGCATTTTCATGATTTTTTTTTTCGCCTCTTGCCTGAATAATTTTGTTATATCATATTCACATGGAAGTTTGAAAGCCATGTGCAAATCGTAGACCGTTGTGCACTTTGGAAAATTAGCAATGGTGCGGAGAACCTTGTTTTGCAGTCCCTGCAATTTTATTAGATGGGTATCTGACCCAAATATCCACGCAGGGCAAGCATAAGGCATTATAGTACTAATGGGTGCTTTGTGGAGGGTCAATTTAATGTCAGTGTTTAATCGTTCACTTTTCAATATGAACTATACTCTAATAAATGTTCTGAAGTCCTGGGCTTCGATAATTTCTACGAGCAATCTTCATGTAATTCTCTTATCAACAATTACTCCGAGATATGTTTTGCTATTAACAGCTGGAATGGGTCATGTATTCAATGTAAGATGGGACTCAGGTGGTCCACGTCTACAAGAGAAGTAGATCTCCTGAGTCTTTTCCTCATTTATTTTAATGTACCAGCACTTGCACCACATCTCCATTGAGCTGAGACCACTCCAGTTTTTTTGAGAACAAAATCCTTCTTGCGAACTGTCACATACAGACAGGTGTCATCAACAAAAAGGGCTAGAAGAACACCAGGTGTTTGGGGACATCATTCAAATATGTACATACAATACAATGTAGGGGATGGGAGAAAAGTTTGAGGTACCCATACTTGTATTACCTTTGCATACAAATTTAGCCTTCCACCGAAACATTGATTTTCTTTGCGAAATAAAAGAGCTAATAATTTTGATCAAACTGGCCAAAATTCCAATTTTAATAATTTATATAGCAGGTCAGTGTGCCATGTGCTATCAAAGTCTTTTTTGATATCTGAGAATGTTGCAGCTGTACACACATTATTGTTGAATTCAGGGTCACGTGGTCGTTAGCTTTATACATTGCAGTGTCATGCTATGACATGCATGGAAATCAAAGTGACATTCATTAAACAGGCCTCTTTCTTCAATGCACTTTTGGACTATTTTCTGTATAACCTTCTTAAATAGCTTGCCCGTTGTGGACAAGAGGCTAATTGGATCTCAGTTTTGGGGGAATTTATGGTGCTTACCTGCTTTTTGTAAGGTTATCATTTTTGCTTCTTTTCAAGACATCAGAAAATGTGAAAGCTGAATGCAGTGTTCAGTCAAATGTGTTAAGTTTACCAGTCCATCACACTATCTGGCTCATGCCTTTCACAACTCCTTTCCGAACATACAACTGAAATTTTCAACAACAAAGGAAATTGAAAGTATCATTAAATCCCTTAAACCTAAAAATACATGTAGATGTAATGAAATATCCACCAAATTACTTAAAATCAGCTGTGCTTACATTGCCTTACCTTTAAATAATATATGTAATATATCCCTTATATCAGGGGCCATTCCCCTATGCCTAAAGTACTCTACAGTAAACCCATTTTTTAAAAAAGGTAATAGAATGAATGTTTCCTACTACAGACCATTACTTATACTTACCTCTTTCTCAAAAATTCATGAAAAAGTAATCTATAACAGACTACTTGAACATGTAATTAATAACAACATACTAGTGAAAGAACAATTTGAATTTAGGAAAAATCTAACAACAGAACAAGCAACCTATGAACTAAGTAAACAAATCATAGGTGCCATTGATAAAAAATTACTAGTAGGTGGGATCATTTGTGATCTAGCTAAAGCGTTCAACTTCATTAATCATGTCTATTCACTGATCAAATTAGGCTGGTATGGAATAACTGGTAAAGCTAACAATTGGATTAAATCATACCTTATGGATGGATATCAAAAACAATTAAACTCTGCAAGCAAACTATACCAACAGAGCGGGATGGATATCAGAGGATGGAAATAAAGAACATAAACTTTAGTCATCAGATTGCTTCAGAATGGGGTAAAATAAGGCATGGCATCCCACAAGGATTCATACTAGATCCTTTGCCCTTTCTTCTATATATAAATTACTTACCACACTTTCTTAAGAATAATCTAAAGCAATTCTGTTTGCAGACGATACTAGTAAAATAGTTACCAACTCTAACCCCATAGATTTTATAAGTGATGTAATGACTGTATTCAGATACTTAAATAAACGGTTCAGAGCCAGTAGTCCATTACTAAATATTTAAAAACCACATCTGTTACAATTTTTGACAAAAAATTGGACCCAAATTAAACTGGATGTAAGCTATGCTAACAAAATAATTTTTAAAGCACATGACACAGAATTTCTTGGATTACTTATAGGCAGTACACTGTCTTGGTTCAGCAGGTACTAAACACGTTAAGTGCAACATGTTATGCACTCAGATCTGTTAAACTCTGCATGTCTCAGGAAGTAATGAAAATGGTTCACTATGCCTACTTTCACTCTGCTATGTCATATGAAATAATATTCTGGGGAGACTCTACAGATAGCACTAAAATCTTGAAAATGCAAAATAGGACAATTAGAATTATCACAAGAAGCAAGAATTGAGATTCTTGCAGAGATTTATTTAAAAACTTATATTACCGTTTCACCCACAATACATGCTCTCACTCCTGTTATTTGTGATAGGCAACAAAAACATGTACAATTTAAATTCTGACATCAGTAACATAAATAAAAGGGAAAAACTCAATTTCCACTAATATTTAGCAAATCTATCTCTATATCAAAAAGAATTCGCTCCTTCGGCATCAAAAAGTGTTCAGTAGCCTCCCTCAAAGTCTCAAAATAGCAACTGGTAACATTAAGCAATTTAAAACAGCATTAAATGTTACTTATATACTCACTTCCTCTACTCCATAGATGAATATTTCAATGTAAACAAAGAGTAACTGGTATAAATTCTAAGCTAGAGTGTATTTCCAAGCATGCTGCTGTAACATTTTGGTTATTTGGACTGTGCTGTATGTATCCAATTAGCATGGTAATATTAATACTGTATTCTAATCTTATTAACTTTTCAAGCAAAACTATTTTTGTACAGATATTATGTATTTGTATTTGACTTGTCCCATATCCTATGATATCAACCTGTACTTTGATTTACGGAATGTAAGTAAATTAAAATTAAAATTCAATGCTCAACTTGGAAGGTGTCTGAGGCATTAATTTGGAGTGCCGTCCATCCTGTAGGCCTTTTGCAATATCAAGGAATTTATAAATTTCTGTATTTCACAAAGTCTGATTCTTTCAGGGGGTCGTTGTCCACAGCTTTGAGCAGATATTGAACTCTAGCCTCCACCCACACCTCATGGTTGTAGTCACACAAATCATGGAATGTGAACTGATTTTCCAAGTGGTCATCAATTATGTTGGTTTTCTCTAACAGATGAAATTTAAGGCCTAAAAGACCATGAACAGCAGTTGACACCTTTGATCCATCCCTCTTTTGATGAATTTTGCAATTGGTCATATAGCCTGAGGTTAACTGCAGAGCTATTTTTGTTTCCCACCATTCCAGTGCCTTTTTGTGGGTCAGTTGTCTATCTTCTCAAGCCAATTAACTGTGATTTTACGTGCTGGATCCCTGGTTTCATGCGATAATTTCCTTTACCTCTGTTTGTGTTTTAACAAAGATTTAAACAAAGAAGGTCTGTTTAGGTCTGAAAGGGTAATGTTACTAGTCAACAACATATATGCCAAAGCAATAGAGGCTGTAAAGTCATGTGCCGCTTTATCGGCCTCTTCATCCCGGTTAATTTCAATTCTATGTGATATTAAATCAGAGACAAGGCTTTGAGAACACTCCCAATCTGTGAAATTTTCAACAGGTTCCAAAAGATTCCTATTTTTGACATGATCCATTATGTGGAATACTATTGGTAGATGGTCTGAGTCCAGGATATCAGAAACAATGATATCTGACATTCTGATATTCTAATGAACCACAATGTCCAGATGGTCACCATTTTCCGCAGGGGAGTAATGAGTGGGGCATTGTGGCACCAATATTTCGAATCTGTTCATGTCACAGAAGCCTTATACTTTCTCATTGAAGGGTTTGAAACTGCAATATTACAAAATGGATGTTAAGAATTCAGATTCATTCATATTTAATGTGCCTTCCAGAGATCTATGTACATAGATATCACCTGCCAATATACTCATAGTCTTATGTTTAAAGCTTAATAGCTGAATGATGTCTGCATCAATGCAGGCATGACCTGGAGACTTACGAACAGCTTCAAGTAGATACAGTTGTCAAATCACACCCAATCACATTTCTTGTACTCATTACAACACAAATTGTTGACAGAACCTTACATACTTAACAGGCAGTTATGAAATATGAAAAGAATAACATCAATTACAAACTGTACTTCAGTGTACCCACTATCCTCCTATATACACTTTTCTTTATGCATACAAAATTAACACAATGCTATAAATTCTGCACTTATTCATGTAGGACTGAAAAA